AAAGTGTTGCGAAGATTGTGAACTTCTTACAGACGATGATGAGTAAACGCAAAATCGAAGAAGTTGAATATAGTAGTAGCGAATATAGTAGTAGTAGTGATGAAGACACAGATACTGAAAATTATATGTATTTTGACACACGTGATAATTATGTACATCCAGATATCGTAAGAGAAAATGTTAGAAAAAGTTTACAATGCAATGAAATGGTCCAAGCAATGAAAAATATTATGCAAACAAATGCTAAATAAAATATTGTTGTAAATCTAATCGATACTGTTCTAAAATTTCTTGCTGTTCGCCTTGTTGTTTGCACCATTGACTCATAACATATAAAAAACATATAAAATCATTTATATGTTCATCATCTCCAAAAGGCCCGATTCTTTCACCCGTAAAATCCAACGCGATATATTTTCGTCTTTATTTACATCGGCCATCAACTTCCACAATGTCCAAGGACCTTCAACGATTTCTTTTTCTCTAAACATATGATATGCTGTTGAATTGCCGATACTTTCATATTGTTTGTCTTGCTCAATACGGTACGCTTCAAATGTTTCATCAAACCTGGGATGATAAACAGCTGGTGGGGTTAAAGGATGTTTTTTTTCACAAGGTATTTTTTGACAACAATCATGACATTCACACCCGCCAGAGAAATCACATATGTTATCATATGTTATCGTAGAATTATCATCACCGTACACCGCAGTCATTGAATCGCACGAGTCTGCATCTTCTGAAATACTACATGAACGTAGACGATCTGCTAATCGTGTCGGTTCAATACCCTTAAAAATTGCGCGAGTACACGATTCAGCCATAGCAAAGTTGATGTTTAATGGGCAGCTACCACAATAAAATAATGTCTTTACACGCATTTCACTGTTCTTTTTATATTCCAATTTTTTTAAAAAACTACTCTTGCAAGTAAAGATTATCTACATATTCATCGACATCCTGATAACGTTGTACACGGTATGGTCGCCTTCGTTGTAGTTTCGACATAGCTATGTTATATAGTAAACTTTGCTTAGCAATCACCTTTTCTCGATCTAGATAGTGTGATTCATCACACCATTTGTGAATCAGAACATCGTATATATTTTCAATATTATACCAACAGTCGTGCAAAACCGATGAAAATGACTTTGTCCACAAATCCCTACACAAACCATTCTGTGTAACTGTCATCAACCATCGCCATATATAACGTGCAGCGATATTGTCTAACAAATCATCGGCCTCCTCTGTGTCCCAATTCTCAGGCTTCACAGGTATTTCAAGCCGCTTATTGAAAATAACAAACGCGTTGAAATTTCGGGGTACCCTATTCTCCGACATCTTTTCGTTTTTTACTAACACGCCGTTGTTGTTGTACGTTGTACGTTGCTTTATACCAACGCATAATATCATAACCCAACACAATCATTTTATTTATAAAGGGTGCTTCATACAACGAAGCTGTCACGGATTTATTTTGAGTTAACCGGTTCCAAAATTGTAAAATATAATACTTATCGGTCACCGTACATGTTTCCATACACACCATATTAACACCGCGGGGTAAAATATCACACAACACTTTTTCAAAATCTTCAACATTTATTTTTACACTATACAGTTTTTTATAATCGTTATAAAATAAAATCGTAACACACATGTTGAATGTAAGTACTAAACTAAATAACCGGTGTTATTTTACTGATAAATACTGCAAAATATACGCGAAGTCTCTGATTGTCCTCTCGTCATACTTCGTGTCAACCTTCCCTGAACACGTTCCTAAAAAATGGACAACAACAATCGACAATTTTATGGTCTACATCATATTTATCAACGTAATTGTCCCTGCCACATATGTCAGATTGAAAAATTAGAAAAAGAAATTGAAAAATCAAGAAAAGAATTTCGTCAAAACTGGAAAAAGGGTAAAAAATAAACTAACCTCTTTTTCCATTCTTTTAACAAACGGTTGAGCTATTTCCCTTGCAACTTCTGTCTTCTTTTGACGATACCAATATTTCAAATTTATACCAGTATTTTTCTCCAAACTCTCTATAGCCTGTTGTTTTTTATCATTCACCTGCCCTATAATCCACCGGTCTGGTCTAGCATCTGTCATAAAATTTCCAGATCTGACAGCATAAGGGACAGACACGTTCCTCAGTAGCTGAAATTGCATCTGCCAAAGCAATACTTCGTACAAATCCGCATCACGCTGTATGGATTCGGGTATAAACCCTTTCTCTACCAAAGTACTAGCTAAAGTTGTAATATACCATTCCGGCTTTCTTAACGCCGGTCCATCGGATACCATACAATTTCCATCGGTTACTTCCTCTTTCTGTAAAAAATAAAAACATATAAATATACCCAACCATCTGACATTTTTGAAAAATAAGTAACGCTTACTGTTGGTTCAACACTGCGAGTGGGAAAGGTGACAGCTAAAGATATGCTACTACCCAATTTTTTTCACCCTGCTTTTTAGCGGGTGGTATAAAATAAAAAAAAAAATGTGCGAACGTTCAGTTAAAACAGGGTAAGAACAGTAAAATTTTTTTGTTGCTATCTTAGCAAATTGTTTTAAATACACTTTTTAGGGAAATAAAAGAACATTTTTAAACTCGTGTTAGAGCTTAGGGCGCGTTCATTTTGTGAAAACATGCCTTGCACAAGGAGCAAATTGTGTCAAATAAAAAAAACCGACGTAACGCGCTTAAATTACCAAACCCTTTTCGGGGTATCATAGTACCGCACGCAGGTGTTGCCATACGAACTGTACACGTCAAACCGGTCATATCGAAATATGCCTGAGACAAACGAAATTCAGGAAAACAATAACGTTACTGATGACGGGGTGGCGGAGACCAACACATCGCCAACGCTAGATCAAGATCAGGAAACGATAAGTGAACATGGCTCGGAGAAAGAAACAGAAGAATTTGACGCGGACGGTTATGACTACGCTGCTTATAATTCTGCTGACGAAATTACTTCAACCGCAGGAGACTACGCCTGTGCTGATGAAGATTTTGTGGGTAACGTTGACTACGAAACAAATTACGGCCAAAATAACGATTTTGACTTTGACTGCAGTGATTATTCTGATGCAGACGACGATACACATGTACCCGCAGACGACGCAATATATCGTACATTTTTTGAACAACTAATTGAGGCACGAGAAAAAAGTGCCCGAAAAGAACGTGCGTCACGATTTATTCCTGCGACACGGCGTTATCTTAATGCCCCGTTTGTGACGCGCGAAAAGACGCTTAATCACTCGACTACCAAGAATTTGTTGTACCTGATCAAAAATATTGTATCCGGGCGTATTGGTGTAAATGTTGCAGACATCGACAAAGAATTAATGCGTGAGCTACTCAACAAAAACACGTCGAAAGAGGAAATTCGATTACATCTCATAGAGGATCGTAGATTACACATCTATCTTCGGCGCGCGTTAACGGTCGTGGAGGAAAGTAAAAAGTATGGGGGACAATGTGAAAAAACTGATGATGTTAGACAGCGAGAAGTACCAAGTGTTGGTGACGATGCTGCAACAAGTTACCCAACGCCAAAACATTCTAGCCGATACCAACCGTACCCCAGCAGAAGCCGAATTGCTGGAAAGTCGCGGGGAAATGTTAAAATCAGTACAAAATAAAACCGCACGGGCCCCGGCAGACATTGTTAATTATATGAAGAAAAAACGTAAATACTTAGATGGGAAGCAAGAAGAAGCTCAACTTCCCGACGGTGATGGTGGTGACGGTGGTGTCGTAGGTGCTGCTGCCGCTATGGGGACGGTTGCATATCATCGCGACAAAATTATGAAACACTTTAAGAATAAGCAAATAAAACAATCAGCAGGGGGTAAACTACAATTGGGGTCAACGGTTACAAATATATCTTACGACGACCTCATGCGCGATCTCACCCATAATTATAAAAAGAAAAAAATGAATCTGAATGATGCAGAGCAGCGTAAAGCCTTGTTAGCGCTACGACACTCGGGAATGCCCGCCAGTTATATCCGTAACGACGTACTTCACGATAGATATAGAAATTTATTACAGACACCACCGCCACCACCAGGGCCGCAACATTTGTATCAAACACCTGAGAAACAGTTACCCGCAACACCTACGTATTATCAACCGCCGAAAAAACGACGTGTATTTGGCACATCTCGTTGGTACATGCAGGACAAGTAAATATGGCTACATTGACATGTTTTATCAGCAAATTTTTGGGCACAGACGATGTTGATGTGTTGGCTAAATCCGATTTAATTTTACGTCATTACTACGTGGGGTGTCACCCTGCAGATGTGATGCCCAAAATAAAAGAACGCTGTTGTTGGGTATGGAATGTGGACGAAAGTAATCGTGGCAGTAGTCATTGGGTTGCAGTTGTTAAAGATCGTCAAAATGTTATATTTTTTGACAGCTATGGAAAAACGCCCACCTTCTTTAAACGTCAATACTGGTTAGATTTTTTTGCAAAAAACAATTGGTCGATAACCATGGCGTCTACCCAGCAACGACAATCCCATGTTACGCGTACCTGTGGCGTATGGTGCCTATATTATCTACGTTGTTATTTTCAAGGACAGCCAGATGCGCTTGATACATTTAATGTAAAAATAACAAAATTAATTCAAAATGAACAAAGACTTCAACAATTAGCATTTAGAGCGTTTCCCACAATGGCGCATATATATAACAAAAAATGTAAAAAAGCCAAAGGACAAATATGTAAAACATACATGGAAACATATTTGGGTAAATAAATATTTATTACTTTACAATGGTTTTTTAATTATCCCCGCCGACATCATAAACCACAGTTTGGTCTTGTGGAAATATTCCCGTACGAATACGCGAATTTGCGTAACTTCGTGGCGAACCATCAAACAACACATAACCATACTGTGTTTTACCGACGTCGGCTAAGATTTTACGCATACATGCCGACGGTATTTTTTTATTACTAGCAATCGTTTCCATATCTCTAGAGTCTGTCAAACTTTTGAACATCGTATGATATTGACTATTCACACGACAATTTCGTAATCGCCCATTTCCGTACATTAAATTTTGACAAACAAAGATGACAGAGGTGTTTGTATGATGGCTGTCGCGCGACGCTATATTATTTAAATTCTCAAGATTGATTTTATCCGCGGCGGCTAGAACCATTAGATCGTCAAGAACAAGTAACGTTGCTTTGCCTAATTTCTGCCGCACCTCTTCCACGGGTAAAATTCCGTTTGAACAGTCAACAAATTCGCATGTCTTTAGCGTGTTTGTCCCTGCATTGTCTCGTATGTGTTTTTTTATGTCATCATAGTCCGTCTGGTTCACTGTGTACAAGTAAAGTAGTTTGTCCACGGGTGGGTCAATTAGTTGATCGTTGTGTTTTATAATTTCCCTTATAAAATGTGTTTTACCACATTGTGAGGGCCCGCACAGCGTCATCATAAATGGGTGTTGCAGCGGTATTGTACAACGGTGCAATTTGTCCGCCTAAAAATAAAAATCACAAGATATAGCCAAAGGGTAGTGTTGTAAAATCGGGTAAAACAATACGCTTATCAAAAGTGAAACGAAATGTTTTTTTTCCCTCTTGAACATTGATTGTTTGATTGTTCGAGCGTGTAAATTCTGTATAGCTCGTTTCGATTTCACACCCGTGATCTGTCATACATTTTTTTAAAGTGTCAAACGTAATCTTTTTTTTTGTATCACCCTTTAACGAAAACCCTTTTACATGCACGATTTCGTCACGCTCGAGTGTTTGCCGACCGTCCTCATGTGTCCGTGTGTACAGATTAGTGCGAAATGAGTAAGATTTAGGACCGACCGTGCAAAATTGTTCTATCCATTTTTCACTGCAGTTTTTTTCCGATAATTCATCTGTTATGCCCCCCAGATATTCGCCCGTGGGTAATGTATGACCCGCTGCTTTATTTTCTACATAAATAACCGAATCGGTATCGTAATACATCACACTGGGGCCCAACTTATGCAAAACTTCAAACAATTCTAGACGTGCATAGGCCGTTACGAACGACGCAATAATCACGTTACGGTTGGCTAGTGTAATTAAAGAATTGGTTTTACGATGAGTCGTACGGGCAATATTATCGCTAATAAAATCCAACGAAGTCACTTCAAGCGTATGGTCATTTACCAATTTTAAAAGATCGGTCATGCTGTCTACAAACGACACAACCGTGGCGTCCTCGTTTTGTGCTAGTTTGCCCCACAAAGAATTCAAAAGCGCCTTCATCACCGTTCGTTGGCCGGGATTGTACACAATTTTGTCAGCCTCTAACTGTATGCCCTCGTGTTCGCGGTATTCTTCGATATAATTGTTAAGCAATACGCTGTCAACATTTCCCGAAGCGTCCAGACATTTCTTTGGCACGCCGCTACTCTCTTGTTTCAATTTCATAAATGTGTCTACGTAGGTGTCAAATATTTTTTCACGCGTTGCAAAATGATAAATTTCATAAACATTCAATAAGCGATAACCGTGTTCTAGATCTTTCTGTATTTCGATACTAGTCCACGTCCCCCACAAAGCACGTTGATCTTCATCGTGTGTACACCCCTCATCACAACGTAATGTCACACATGTTTGACACAAAGGAAAGGTTAATTTACCCCCAGCACGACACGGCAACACGGGAAATAATAAACGCTGTGGGGGGGCAATACGGCATTTAATTAACCCGAATATTGTACTAACGGGTATTTTTGCACATTCCTCTTCGCCGCGTATTATCGTCGGGTGGCGGGTCGGATAAACATTTTTTCTCTGAACATACGGGTATAGGGATGTAAAATCCCCATAAAATGCTTTTTCCACACCATTTTTCGATTCAAAGTATAAACGTGCCGGTGATGTACGCCCCCCGAAAAGGGCGTCTCGCGGGTTCAAATGAATATTAATAAAAAAATCACGATGACGTAAAAGATCCAATGTTTTCTTGTTTAATTTATTCACCTGCATGTAAATACATTCCCACATGGTGACAACTCGATAACCCGCATTTTCGAACATTTTCTCTGCGCGTCGTGTACGCTCGCGTAGCGTATAATAGGTTTCATTTAACACGCTATTATACTCGTGACCATCGTAACATCGCGTACAGCCGTGAAAAAAACACCCGTGAAATTGGTAAATCGTACGCGTCGTCTCGCAGTAGCCGTCGACATACCGCCCCAGCACCTGTGTCTCGCCGTCAACGGACAAAGTACTATGTAAAAAAAGATCATTTTCACCCAATTCGGCCTCGATTTCGCGTAACCAATACAACGCGACGACACTCTGCTTAACCTGCACACCATACCCTTTTGCGGGAATTTGTCCGATCGTATATTTTACAAGAAAATTACTACGGTATATTTTGAGTGCCAACCCGGCAATAGTATGACATGTTTTGTCATAAAAAGGAAAAACACCCGTTATGTTTTTTATCAAACGTGCAAAAATTATACACCCCTGACGCAAGATATCTACGTCTAGACGACAGTAATAATAAATGGCTTTTTTGAAATTATACGGCTTCAGACACTGTGCCGCGTACCACGTATCAAATTTACGGCGTTGCGGAGTACCCGCAGCAGGTGGTTCAAAATATTCTAACCCCACCATGGGTCCAACGTACGTCAAATCGGTAAAATGGTAGGGGTGAAAACCCTTGGCAATATTTTCAATACCCAGGGCTTCGGGAAATTTGCTGAGAGCCATACTTAGGAATAAAAAACTATCGAGTACTTTTAGATTACGATCCTCTAATTCCATACACATGATTTTATTACCGTTCATAATTGTTTGCGGGACGATATTTCGTTCGATAAGCAGCTCGCGCAATAAAAAAACGTTATCAAAGCGCCCACCATTGTGTGCGACCCACACGCTGTTGCGGTCTTGAGCATACATGAAATCAACAAGTTCTTGGGTAATACACGCGTTGTTTTTTTCAAATATATATTGTCTGTAGCCGCAACAAATAACCGGTTGTACCGACCCGTCAGCATATTGAACATTTAAAACCGGTTCAAAATCCTCATTTATTTTCACGAATGGTTTTTCATCACATTCGACGCACACTTTCTGTACAACACAATAAAAGGGAATCATGTAGCCCTCATCATCCTTACGTGTTTCAAAGTAAAAAAAAAATAAGGTCGGATGATCCTCGTCCGCGTGTATTCGACACACTTTCATGTAGCATTCGTGCGGTTTTTTTTTCATACTTCCGCAATGTGTACAATATATTTCATCGCATTTATGCTTTGTCCGTTTTTTGACATTAATATTTACCATTCGGGGTACACGTTTATAACATGTTGAACAAAAAAACATGTGTTGACAGGGTGTTTCATAGCGGCGACCAACCGGAAATACGCGCTTTTGTAAGTGTCGTGTATAGCATGCGACATTTCGAAAAATCACCCCGCATAGATCACATTCTTGTTGTAGCCCTTCGTCTGGACAACGCGCGTTTGGTGAATAACAATTGGGGCATGTATACACACTACGACAGACGTGGTTGGTTATTGATTCTGCACGGTGAAAATGATGCATACATTTGAAACAAAAATTACCCGCAGATTGACGTGTAAAAATGTGCGGTGAAAGAATTACGTCGTAGTGTTCGTCGTTTAACCATAGATAAATAATATTTTCATTAACGCGTAAAACATGACCGTCGACATTTACACGCGAATCGTAAACAATCGTATCGCTTTGAGTTTTAGAAAATACTACCAATTCCACACCTTCTAACGATAAAAAATGTTCGTAAAATAAATGCAGCTCGCCAGCACATACTTTTCCCGGAGTCATACTACACTGCGTATATACGTTAGCTATTTGTTCGGGTGTGTATAAGGTCGTTAACGTCGTATTGGGTTTCGTTTTTAGTTTTTTGCTAATCTCGTCGTTGTGTAAAAAAGAGCATGCAACCAGCAAGGCGTAAGCAAAGCAACGATTTGTTGTTCCAACAATTTGAAATACCCCGTGTCTAACGTTGCGACCATGCTTGGTCGCTGTTTTTTTACGCCCCTTTCCAAATTCATCTGGCTTTTTCATCAAATACGCGTACATCTTTGCACGTTTTTTTCGCGGGGTGCGTTTTTTTGTACGCGGTACATAATTGTTTGGAAAAATGAAAATACTTACAGTCGTTTGCCAACCCTCATTGATAACCTCCTCCGCATTACTTTGCATGTGACGTTCGAACACGTCAAAAAATAATTTCGCATTGAAATCACACACGTTAAGTATGGCCGTAGAAAAAGCATGCCGCGGTGCTTTAGATATATAGAAACGTGCTTTATCCGTCGGCGAGCTAGCTATATACTTCATTATATTAATTAAAGAATTAAAAACCTCACGCAAACTATTTAAAAAATCCGGTAGCGTGCTCGTATTATTAGCACCAATCGCCACTTCGTACACATATTCATTGTAACCCAAACGCCTGTGCCCAGCAATCTGTTTGACGTTAAATAATTTTTTACTAATTTTTCTACGATTTTTTTTCACCAATTCTACTATTTCAGCAATATCACGCGACTCGATACGATAGTGAGAGCGTTTTCCTTTTTTACTCAACCGTAATTGTTTTCTGTTGGCCTTAACCATTCGCGAAATACCCACTATTGTTTGAGGGGTGAGCTTGATTTTACGTTTTTTATTACGTATATTACTACGCACCATTTGCACAATATCCCGTAACATGTTCTCGTCAAGTTTCACTCGTTTTCCATCTTCGTCGTTTTCTGTATTTTTGCGTTTACGCTTTTTTGACGTCGACGCCGACGCCATTGTAGACAGCCAAAACTATGCGTTTCGTATTCCCTATCTTCTTCGTGTTCTCCGCCCGCGTCTACACCATCCACAGCAACATCTGTACTTCTGTTAATAAAAACACATTTAAATGTTATCCACGGTGTATCACCACCACCACAACCACACAGCTTTCCCAACGACATCGTTTGCAAAATAATGGGGGATACGGTTATACACGTTACAATATATTTAAAAAATGAGTTTGCTACATCTGCACACGATGTTAATCGCGCCGCATATGAAGTCGAAGATAATGATGCGGAAATATTATTTTCACCACACATTTTACCTGAATGTATTGCGGATTGGCATATGCTTGGTGGGCAAATTATAAATCTTCCGGCCGGCTTGTTACGTCGCAGACTGTTGGAGTGGTCCAATACATGTGCAATACCAAGCGTGCCGTTATCTAAAGTAAAGGCAATTATAAAATTTATTGAAAAGCACAACGATACGTACGTGGGGATCGACACGGTGTACGCTGCTGATCATGAGTAATTTATGGGAGCGTCTAGAACGTATGCATAATTTCGGTGAACGATTTGTTAACAGACAAGTATATCGACAAATGTATGGGCGTCGACCCGTACAAAGTAAACGTAAATCTCAACGCTGCGTATCCAATACGGTTCGAGACGTTCAATGTCGTAAACGTACCGCACACACAAAAAAATGCTGGATTCATTTGGCGAAACAAGACAATTTACGTATAAAACCCTCGCAGATTCCCGGTGCGGGGAAAGGGTTGTATGCTTGGAAAAAAACCATACCGCGGGGTAAAGTTATCTCTAAATATACGGGTCGTAAAAGAACAAAAACAGAATTGGATCGGCGGTATGGTGACGCCACGGCACAATATGCCGTGTGTAATCGTAATCGCTGTGTGGATGCAAATCATACCACCGACGCCGCTGCACGCTTTGTGAATGATGCGAGACGTAGTCAATTTCAAAACAACAGTAAAATAAAGGGTACCAACGCCTTTCGTTTAAAGGCCACCAAAACAATAACACCCCATCAGGAAATATTTACGAGCTATGGTCAAGATTATTGGGTATAAATTCGGTTACGCAACCGTTTTGGTCCAAAACCCCCCCAACTCGCAAACAACACGACATGTCTTACCAAGGCTTCAGACGTTTAAACAACGATATACGTGCGGCTACGTATTCCAACAAAGGTATAAAAAAAAAAGTCGACAGCGTGGCGGTATAGTAAACAAAAAAAGACCCGTCAGACGAAGACGCAAAATTTACCAATATGGTGGCGGTGGTGGTATGGGGAATCTTACGCGCGAAACAAAAGGGACAGCAAAAAACAATGTGCCAACATATTATCAATATTATCAATAAATTTGTAAAGAGTAATAAAAAATAATAAAATATATATATATATAATATTTACTAAAAAAGTACCTTTGTTTTTCTCGTGTTGCTTTACATAGGTTCTAACTTATAATGAATACAGAATCACCCGACCGTGCGTTTAAATTTTGCACATCTCCATACAAGAAACGTACACGTCGTACAACTATGCTTAAACTTTGCACGTTTGTAAATAAAAAGCTTATGTTTATCCATCATTTTATTACTCTAACAATTCTTCTTAAATTTTGCACATCTCCATACGAGAAACGTACACGTCCACATCACAAAACACTATGATTCTAAAATACTCATTACGCTGTACTTATATCGTATCCATCGGAAGACGTCTTAACGCGTCTACAAACCCCGCTAATTTTTTCAAATCGCGTAAATTCCCGTAATGTTCCAGCACACCTGGACCGTGAAACAAATAATCTTCTAAAGCAGCCGCATATTTTCTCACACGGTCTTCTAAAATCATGGATTTATGCAACTCCAAAGTTGGACCGCCAAAATGAAAACAACCGTTCTCGACAATTTTTTTCTGCAATTCATGATGTCTTCTTATTGCCCAAATATGCATATGTTCAATCATAGGGTTGCGCCCCATCGGTGTTAAATTCACGTATATTGCAAACTTTGCAAACTCTTGATTCAATTGCGCCGGTGTAATGCGTTTTGTAAACTGCATAATACCCATCACTTTCACCGACAATTGTAAAGGATAATCGATGTATTTATAATAATGCAGTGTCAAATCAGCTAGCCGGTCCAACGCACCGCATATTCTGAAATTTGGATCCCCTTCATACAAAGCAAACGACGCTTCAAAATAATATGTTCTAAAAGACATCTTGTTTTTTCTCCCTTGTAAAATAAGACAATTGAAAATGTTCACACTTTACCAACCGCAATTGTTTACCCGACAGCGAAGCAACTATCCTACACCGTCTATGTATGTTGAACACTTGTAATATATAGCCGCGCTCATAAAACATCATATACACCGTCTTGAACGCGCTCCTTATTAGGACAAAACCACACACAGCTTGAGTAATTATATCAACAACAGCATAAGCACGATATATATATTTCTGATACAGCAAATGTACGTCGTAAAAAACCATTACTTTATGTTAAAACAATGTTTAAGCATAAACGATGTTATAATATCCCTACAAATAGTTTTTTTCTTCGAACCAACAATTACTGACCGGTATGCATTAGTTAATAGTAAATTAAAATCGCCGTCCAATACATAGCGTGCCACCGGTGTTTGTGCTGCGTGCGTTAATTCTATACTTCTGTCTCTGTCAGACGTGTACTGTGTGTGCGTAACACCCGGACAAGGCTTATACACAATCACAGACCTTAACAATGTTTTTAAAAACATAATTAAATACGTATGACAGTTATTACAAACTAAAATATGCAGTAACATACTTCGAATATCTATCGTTTTTAAAGTAAAAGTTTCTATTTCTACAATACTCTTTTTCTTTTCCTCGTTGTTGATCGATGGATATTCAAGAGGTATTAGTTTCTTGTTTAAACTCAAACAGTACATCAATTCACAAACACACTCTCGCTCGGTATTGTTCGGGTCGTGGGCAAACCCGTCACGTAATAGGGATTCTAAAGCGCCATGTAACCGTTTTAAACCCACAAAACAGTCTAAATCGGCGTACACCGAGTGTAGGTCGCTTTGACAAGCACCAAACCCCAGATGATAAAACGATTCGTCAACATATAGTTCTGGTCCGACCGACAACTTGCGACATTGAATAATACCAACACCGTCACTGCTTAAAATTTGGCGGCAGCAAAACTCGAAGGGCATATAATGAAACCACCACACCCCGTCCGAATCGTAACGTACAATTAAGTGTTTTGCCCATTCTGCAGGGATGGTATAGAATTTTCGACCATCGACGCATTGCATAGACACGGAGACCGTTTTAGGATTTAACCATAATAAAACATCACGTACCTCGTCTAATTCGCCATGAAACCACACATCTTCGGCGTCGGTAATCGCGTAGTCATATATACGTCTTTCTTTCAACGGCTTTGGTTTGTACGAATACAGATATCTATCCACGCTGTACAACGACCATAGAATAGGGTGATACGGGTATGCTGTAAGCAAATTCTGGAGCGTGTTGAGTATAAAATAGGCGCTAGGTTCGCAACCGTACCGCTCTAAGTATGTTTCAACATTTTCCATACTCTTGTAAATACCGTCCAAAAATCTCTACTTCATGCCCGCTACAATGATACTTATAACCCCGCAGATGTTTTCCACACGTGTGGGGTGTAAGACCATATTTGGTCAATAACCCCTCGTATCGCGGACATTCCAACAATTCTATATTCATACCGGTATAACCCAAACAATTTAATAAATCACGCTCGATCACACCACCCTTGTAACCGATCAAATCTGCATTCATAAATATTTGGCGTAAAAATATCATCACCTCGTCATATAAATAATATTTCCCGGGTATACCAATATCAATACCGTCGCAACACCTTGTTATGGGTAATCTGTGTATATGGTTAATCTGATAACGTACACACGCATGTTTTTCGTAAAATAGCTTCCTATTTGGGATATATATATGGTATGTCACAATTGTACCCGTTTGTCTACACCAAATCGAAACCTCGCGCAAAAACGTCTTAGAACGCGGTGTTGAATAACCCTCGCAATCAATAATGTGTGTGATACGGGCGTAACCACCCCATTCCTTAATATATGCGATGTCCCACGCTGTTATCTCACTGTGTTGTTTTGAAAAACACGTCGCTAGCTCGTCCATATCCACCACCACAAGACAAACGTATACAAGTTTTGAAAAAAATTTAATATTTTACAATTTATATGTGCGCCAAACATGGTGTTACAATCACAATGTACACTAATTTCTGCTAGGCTATTTAATAAGCGTTTATAATAAACTAACAGGTCCTCGACAAGAAAAGGTGAAATTAAAACATCTCTCTCGTATGCGATTTTGCGACACAACTCTTGAGCGGGCTGTTTAAAATTTACTACATCATCCATATCTTTTGATAAAATATCTTTTACAATAACATCCCGCAATAAAGTATGCACGCCCATTTGAAACAACTCGTGTGTACAACTACCTATATTATTATATTTAAACGGCATCATGGTGGTATATACGGTGTTCCGCATTATATATGCTTTATATTTAATTAACAGCATACCAAAAACATGGTCTGATAAATCAGCCATATTTGTTAAAGTAAAAAAATACATTTTAAAACCCTGAACGTCCTCGGTAATCGTGTAATGACTGTATAACCAATATTTCGTATTAAACACCACGCCGTAGATCAAAACATTTAAAACATCCTTATCATGAGCCTGTCTTTTCTTACGATCAACATTTATTACCCCGTCGAGTTTTTCGTACAGCTGTAGCCCCGCTCCATCGTTTTCAGGTCTCGAATAACACCACGCCATCGCTTAACACTCTGTTGTCACCAAATGTCTGTGTCACGAAAATCTCCCGAATTTCGTAAACATTATACTCGTTAAGTACACAGCATTCGCTTAATGTATAAAACACGCCTGTGTAGTATTCGACAATACTCTCTTCGTATTCCTGACGCCGATTCAATATGCCAACCATGTAACTCAAAATACACGTATGGGTCACCTCAACTTCAAACGGTCGGACAAGTGTAAATGTACTATTTGTGATACGTCGTGTTTTTTTCACAGTGGGGTAAATGGGTATTGTTATCAAAACTGTACAATGTCTATTACGCACCCAATCCACATGCGTTATTTTCAAATATTCGCCCCTCCGTCGTGAATAACACATCGTTCAAATATGCATACACACAGGGTAATGTTATTACTGTTCCGTGAACGCAAATTTTAGAACCCTCCTCGCGTGAATCAACTATTTGCCCCAACATCTTTGCATCATAAAGCAAATTTGCAAAAAAACGAAACTCTTTACGATCTTTACACAACTCTTTTAGAACAATTAAACATTCATTATCATTTATTATTTCCAAAGGCTCTTGTAAGCCATGATTACATACATCATCACCCATCGTTTATAAATATTCTTTCACCACATATTTTGAAACATTCTTACCAACTCGGACGAATACAACGTGTGTGTGTCTGCACAAAGTTTACTACGTGTTGTATTCTTAAACTCTACCAGACGCTTTAACCCTTTTTTTAGATTACTAATATCATCAGCATACGCATATGACCCCGCTACCGGTATTACATGCAGTATACACGGATCATTTTTGGGTCGTTTTACATCGTAAAATACTCGATCATCGTCTTTCGGTGACATGCTACAGATCCGCCAATTGTCAGCATCAATACATTGAACCATATAAACAAACAAGCGAACGCAATATACTTCCCCTTTAAACAGCATTACAGCAGGTCCGTGTGTATTCAGACAAAGCGCATGACGTATACATTGGGCTATTTTACGATCTTCTCCCAGCATCCACACACCAGCCATCACTCTACAAAAAAAATTTTTCTTTTACAATTTAACTAAAGTCTCCAATCTTTGCAAAAATTGCAAAGATTGGCAGACTTTGGAAAAACGATAAAAAATCATTTTATTCTTCTTTTTAAATCTTTTACAATTTTGTCTAATTCAAATAATACATCGTCGTTAACAACTAGTCTATAACTATCAATCCAAAATGTTTGCATATCGACCGTATCATTGTCTAAGAAAAAATAAATCAATCTCTCACAAACTATTGTACAAATCTTTTACAATATCGTCAAACTCGTATAATACAGTGTCATTAACAGCCACCCTATAATTATCAATCCAGGATGTTTGCAAATCATCTATGTCTCTAACAACGTCATACGCAAGCATATCACAGACAAAATCCGCCATATCTTCTTTCATCTTCCCACGACCAAATGAAGCACGTACATCTATGTTTGTGCATACGCAGTTTTCTTTTAAAAATATCTTTATATGCAAATCGTTTGACTGTCTCGGCACCTCACCATCAACCCCATAACCATAATAATTTAAAGTCATAGTATACATCTTGTCGGGCGAATTATAACACGTGCGAAACATTACGAAGGCATCAATTTTCTTACACAGGCTTTGTGCATGTATTACAGGTTTCCCCTTGTAGCTAGACATTATTTGTTTATCGAAATGCATACTGTCTAAGAAAAAATAATAAATCGGGCATTACTAACACACCACAATCTCTTGCAATTTGTTGGTATAGTTTTACGCAACAAGCATCCCCTAACAACCGCGCAAGCAATACTTCGCGGGACAGCGAATCTATAAAATGTTGTTGTGTATTTCGCGACATCACATTGCGAGGGTTGATATCCGGTAAAAATGGGTCAAGTGTGTCTCCAAATTTTATAGCACCGTCTCTCTCGCTTACACACAAAAAACCCTTATAACGTGTATGAGATAACTGTTCAAACATAGATATAGCTAACCAGTATACGCCATCTTCTGAAAAGCAACCGGTACTATTCAAACAAATCACGTGTCGAATATTTTGTAAACAACAGTTATACAGCTGGAAGTTCGTGCTATACGCTCTTGATAATGGGTCTATAACCCGCAAATTGTAGCCATCTCGAAAAAAGAAATCTCTAATACTGTTACTATGCACTCTATATTTCTCCATACCTTTAAAATTCTTCACTTTCTGCTGGAAACCAAGCGGTGCTTGAATAATAACTGTGGTGTCCTGATAGTGCACGTATTGTACAATTTGTTGTCAATAATGAAACCAACACGTCGCGAATAAAGGTCACACCCTCCCTTGTCTCGGTTATAAATAAGGTTGTATAAAACACGCATAATATTAACACCAATAATAACGTCACAGCAACCTTGACATTGACTCGTACATTCCTTACCTTGACCATAATTCTGCAAACAAACATAGACATATTAGGTCAATACTACCCTACCACCCACAATATTGGCATCCTGACCGTGATTTTAACACATAATTACCCATATTTGGTAAGTGCTGCATACAGACGTTTAAAACACAACCATATTAGGTAATCGTATCTCAGGCAATGTTAAAAAATATTACAACCCGGACCATATTTGGGTAATTATGACCTGCTCTCGTTATTGTGATTGTTTTGCACCAAGCGTATCATAGTCATTCTACGCACAGCAAGTTTACGAGATGGAACAATTTATGCGCTTTGTGGACTATTTGGGTTTTACTCTAAACGACGAGAATTATTCCGCATACCAGGATTTATTTCGAAGTTTTCAACAATTCTGCAAAATAAAGCACGATCTCTCACCAGAATTACAATTCATACGTTGGCAACAGCAATACTCGGTAAAATCTTCACCCCTTCTTCAACCTGACCCAATCCACCTTCCTGCAAAACTGGCCACATTACCCGATCAGGCGTGCTTTAATACCTTTACGCTAACCCCTTCAACACCGCACACCTCACCACACGCAAACATGGTCCTAAACCCCGACACGCCAGTGACAACGTCTAACATGCTTAATACAGCCCTTCTCGAAGTCCTAAACTAATCGAGTGAAGACGATACTCAAAAACATGTAGACTCGGAACCGATACAAGAACAACGTGAAATTACAAACAGTATAATAAATGGTACAAAAGACTCGGGTATACAAGAACAACGTGAAATCACAGACAGTGTAATAAATGGTACAAACGGAGGCTTTGATATATTTGACGGATTTCCACCGACCCAATCTACGCTGCAAATCTTGCCCGACGAATCTAAACCGTATGGTTTGGGTAAAAATATCGCGGTATTACGAGCCGAACATGAATCGCTGCAGAAAAAAAACAAACGGCAACGGCGCACAAAATCTGGTATTCGAGGATCAGGTAGACCCACCAACGATGAAAGCATCATGCGTATAAACAACGATGCGGCCGAAGATGTCAAAACTGAAGCCGCCTTGGCGATCAGGGAATTGCGTCTACTGACTTCAACGGGGTCAATACGTAAAAAAAATGCCGATATATACCAAACACCCCAACGACATCAAGTGTTTCGCTATAAAACATTATAGCAGTTTTGAATTTATTGCCGATCGGCGAAAAACTTTGTTAGAAAAAATAAAAAAACATCGTGACATTCTTCAACATTTAAACTATCTAGAAACGAACATGTTGCCATATATCGAGCAAAACACTTCATTTTAAATTTCACTTTACCATATCTGTTAATAAATCACTATCTATTAAAAATAAAACTTTGTAAATCGTTAAAAAAGATGAATAAAATATTATGATGTAACATAAAACGTTGTTATACTTGAATTTCACTTTTAAATAATACGTCACATCCCCCCGTGACGTCACTTCCGACCACATTCCCCGTGACGTCACTTCCGTCACGCACCATAAAGGCGCGCGCCAATTTCAAACACGCTCATTACGGTCGACCAAGGCTTCGGAGTCGCAACTCGTCCGCGCATGCGCAACACACACCACACACAAGCGCACGGCGCACGTCGCCCGACCACGCCCTGGACCACGCCCAAAAAAAAGTCCCCCCCCGTCCGGGGACACTTTTTTCGACTCTTTTTCCAACATCACCCGACTCTTTTACAATACTATTCTATAGTAAAATGAAAAAATTCCCACACCCCCCCCAAAAAAAGTGGTACTTTTACCCTATTACTACTTAAGTACATGATGTGTAGAGTATTGAAAAACTGATGATTTATGTATTAAGCGCAATGACAGGGCTATATGGAATCATATAGCCCTGTCATTGCGCTTAATACATAAATCATACGTTTCTGTAGCGCTTTGCATTGTGGTTATAGTGGTATCACTACCTGCCTGGCTGTATGAGATCTAATTTTTTATATTAGATGGTGCCGTTGGGCAATTATGCATAGCCATGCCCAGGAGCACTGCCCGCCACACATTACAATATAAAACAAAATATAGCACTTACATGGAAACTCCATCTACACGTTGCACGAACAATATATAACCGTTATATCTTGAATGCACTTTCAGTGGAAATTTTACAAAGGCTTCGATGCGGAAAAGAAGTTTGCCAAGCAAATGTACTTGTTTTTGCCGACCTTTTGATGCAGTGCGGGACATCCACTGGCATCTTCGCGTACCGAAAGTCCTCTGATTGGTGAAACAGGTGCCTGCGGCTGTGCCATCTCCTGGAATAAGATATAAGTAAATATGAATACACAGATTGATAAATGTTCACACCATATAAAACTCAGAAACATTGTTCTGCCTGCGAAACAATTCCACCTATACTGGCCATAGTTGCATCGAGGTTTCCACTCTTTACCTTATACTGATCATTCCTTAACCTTGAAACTCTTAAAATGAAATCACTATGACTATGTTGTAGAAATGTAAAGCAATATATTAACTTACCAGTTAATAAAACGATGTCAATTGAATCAGTTGAAGACTGCAAGAAGTAGAAGTGGTTGCGACCAGGATACGCATATGAACTGTATCAGCAGAGCAACGGACTGTTATATACCCTTGTAACATTAAACCTAAACTGCGCCATCAACACTTAAAGTAATTGATTTTCAAAGTAGCTCCGACACTTTACACCTTTCTATTTCGAGTATTCTTTTGATACCGCCATACCGGCGCCGGCTACTAGTATGCCAGGAAATGCAATAACTCCTCGGTCGTCGCAAGGACAATGATGTATACAACTTTTATATATGATTTCAATTGTAGCATTTTTTTTTCAAAATTATATAATCATATGTAAACCACGAAAATAGTAAATTCTTGTTCATACACTGTATACAGTGCATTCAAATTGATTTGAAATTAATTCTAAGCCTAAGGGCATTTTTCTATAAAAATTATAAAGAAGACAGTTAGGCAAAACCTTTGTTCCCCCAGATAAATACAATCAACTTTTTCAAAGAGCGGAGACATAGTTCGTGATGAAGTACGCATTCTATATGTATTATTTCTATGCTCTTTATACAAGGGTATGCCAGGATAGTGTGGTAATTTCAAGTATGATAATTTAATGGTAATAATCATATGTAAACCATGAAAATAGTCATACCAAAGTGTATGTTTGTTTTGTAAAGGTGTCGACGAAATTAAATTAAAATGATAGTGTGTAGCGCAAATGGCGGCAGCCAACTATACTCCTTAGGAGGGCAGACAACTAAGGGGGGTTAAGCGTCCGCTTCATGACATAATTCAAATTGCCAATCATCGTTAGTGAAATTTTATTCGGACACAGAACAAGAAATCGAAATTTCACTTTTGGTTTCAACTTGCAATGGAAATGAAATGAAAAGCAAAGTTCATTTGGCGGGAGAAGCAAAGTTTATTTGGCGCAAATTATAATTCCAATATAGGCGGAGCGCATAGGCAGTTTTACAATCTCCAGTGTGATGTGTCGGTTTCTTTGCTGCAACACTGTCACTGCGACAAATTTATAATTGCAGATTAGAAAATATAATAATGCGATTATAACATCAAATTATTCTACCGCAGGTCCGCAGCACCTGTTGCCAAACGATGAACGAACTGATGATACCATATTTCTCATATAGTGAGGCATTGTTTGTTTTTTGTTTTGAACGAGGTGGGCTTCGCACGTGTATGGATCGTCGCAAAAACAATAATATAATTAATATACAACTTTTATATGATTTCAATTGTTTTATATTTTTCAAAATTATATAATCAATCCTGTAAAC